TCACAAACTATTAATCACCAACCGCTAATACTGGATTACTTAAACAGAGAACAAGTCATGGCCCATACCAGAGTGTTCGGACATGGAGTCCAGATCAAGCAAAAATTTGGTCAATTCCAAGGCGAAACAGAGACCTTAAAAAAAGCGGTCTTGAGACCAAGACCAATTTTGAATACTAAAACCAGGGTTCCTACACATTTTCCATTTCAAAATTCCAGACCATATTACAGATCTGAGTATAAATAGCTAGATGTTTATTATGTAAATGAATAGTTTTAAAATCCAACTATTAACATGTATGTTGCATTCTGACTTTGTCTGCTATTATGCTGCTAAATAATTGCCAGACGATTGTAGCTAGGTACTGCAGCTCATACAAATCAGTTTTGTGGCATTCAGTCCACAGTCCTATATAGAAAGGAACCCTGTATAACAGCTTCCATAAACACACTGCTGTCATTGCACATAAGGACTGTTCATTAATTCACAACTCACAACAGGCCATGATACACTGCATACAGTACAAGCTCCCTCCTGAATATACCAGCTATCACTGACATATATTGTTTAGCCTATAGATTAATTATCTAATTACTTTAAGCTTATGACAATTTTAACCAGGACTGCATAACAGAACAGGAAGTACACTGGACGCAGAGAAAGGATGTAACCTTAATGCAATGTATCATATCAACAAGCAGGGAAAAAATGCGCTGTGCAAATAAATAACTGTAATACTATATAAAATTTCGATTACAGGGCAAAACATAAAAAAACCCCTGTGACAATTAATTCACTGACGCGCTTTTTAAACAGCGCTAAAACCGGCAGTGCAAAATAGGCTACTATTTTATTTAAACAGAACACAATAATACTATTATTACTATTCTTCTTTTTTTTATTATTATTGTTATATTTGCAAAAAGCTTCACATTCACACATGCAAATATGACGTTAGCTAGACGCTAGCTATCTCAGGATTTCTTAAATGACCGCACTCGAAGAAAAAATATGGCTTAAAATATGACCCAACCAGGCCGTGACCGGCTGGTTCTGAGGTTGCGTCCAGGCACTGACCTGTCTGTAGCCTAATATGGTGATGTTATATTGCTAAAGTTACAATAAAGACCTAATATCAACACAAAAATAATACGCTTACCTTGCGCGGGGATTTTTGGAGAATGCACTAAATCGCTTCTATTTGGTCCGTAGGGAGTTGTTGGCATTGAGAAAATTATCGCCCCTCCTGGTACTCTATTGGTAACTTCACCTTCATACATGCGTGTAATTTTCACGCCTAGAGGAGGCAAAGCGTGACACTTACACGCATACTCGAGTGGACCAGCGTGTCTGCTACACGCTTTGGCGTGATACCGGGTTGAATACTGTGCGATGACCTAGTGTGACATTTTAGTATACAGCTACAAAAAATCTCCCTAATATCTGTGAAATAAGCAACATCAGCTCCCAAACAAGCAGCCACAGTAAAACAGGGAGAAATAACTTTCACAAATTTAAAGCTTTTATTAGATTTTATTGGGTTTTAGGTCAAAAACACTTTCCATGTTTTGGTGTTTACAGAACAGAATGCCGTATCATAATTTAAATTACCACTATTTTGCAAATTGAGTTATAATTTTCTTTTATGTGCTTAGACACAAGTCTAGCCTGCAAAGGTTATCTCAAAGCTGCAATGGGGATCTAAGTGAACAGTACAAACTAAAAGTCCCTATACAAAACAAGAGCAGAGACTTTGTTACAGTGAGCTTGATTTCTTGAAAGTGAGCTTAATGGCATTTGAAACACTGGATTCAGCACTCAGTGTTGAGCAAACCAGACAGAGCAGTTCAATAACCAAATGGGAGAAGTTTTAATGTAGACTACATTGGTCTAAAGTCATAAATGTATTCATTATTAGGTGTTAGTAGGTTTGAACTACTAATTCTAAGTTATGGAGGTGATTGGAAGTTATGGTGTAGTATTACAGTAACAAGCTACTTTTTCCAGTAAGTAGTCTGACAGAACACTTCATTACTGGTCTTTATATCACATCACAGTATACAATGCCCAAATCTCTTCAGAAAAATTTTTTTTTTTTTGCACTGCATTTTTTTATGTACTGTTTTGAGGTTAAATATTTGTAAAATGCCGCTGTTCATCACTATACTGTAAATACTGGTGTTTTGAAGTTATATTCATTGTAAATATATATCATTAAAGGGATAGTTCACCCCAAAATAAAAATTCTATCATTAATTACTTGGGTTGGGTATCGTT